TCCTTGGACTGCAAGGAGATCAAATCAGTCAATCCTCAAAGAAATCAACCCTGACTGTTCCCTGGAAGGCCAGATAATGAAACTGAAGCTCAAATACTTTGGCCACCAAATGAGAAGGGAGCACTCACTGGAGAAGACCCTGATGCTGGGAAAGATTGAAGGTCAAAGAAGACGGGGACGGCAAAGGATGAGATGGTTAGACAGTGTCATCGATGCAACGAACATGAAATTGAGCCAACTTCAGAGGACAGCAGAAGACAGGAGGGCCTGGCGTGACCTGGTCCATGGGGTCGCGAAGAGTCGGACTCGACTGTGCGACTGAACAACAACAACAAAATTTAGAGCCTCTTACTTTTCTGTATCCAGCTTGAAGATGAAGAGGCAGTAGAGATCAGAGACACTAGAGGTGATAAAAGAGAGAGAGCCTATAATGTGTGCCCATAACATTGTCTTTTCGAGGCTTTGAGGTGTGCATCCCCCTAACCCATTCCCCTGAATTGTCCCATACATCATAATGAAGATGAGGTCAAAAAAAAAATCCAGTACTGCTCAGGTTTGGGCTGCTTCCTGCTCACCTAAACCCAAACCCCAGCAACCAGCGTTTTAGCATGTAGACTGCTGGCAGGAGTAGGTGAGCAGAATATAATTCATCCTGGTGGTCAGCTGTACCAGTGGGAGATGAAAGCATGCAAGTTGTTTATTTCCCCCCTCTCTTCTGAGATTTCATCCTTTGTATAGTCGTATAGCAAATAACTCATGCTTAACACTGTTGTAATGTCAGGCACTTGTTTGAATGGTTTAAAGCAGGGGTGTCAAACATGCGCCTGGATCAGCCCCCCGGAAGGCTTCTATCAGGCCCGCAGTGGAACTGGCTGTCTTCTGCTTCTTCTTCTGGTTCTGCTGCTGCTGCATCATCGTACAGATACACTCCTGAACAGCATACTCAGCAGCACAGACATTTTGATGCAATAATTCAGAGCAAGAGGTGTCTGTTAGCAGACACTGTTAAATAAACAAAATATTGCAAGAGTGCTAATGTTTTAAGCATGTTTTTATTTTAAGTAAAAAAAACCCCTTTGTGTTTGTGTCCTTTATATAAAGTTTATATCTCTGCTCCCTGGCATTACATTTTATGACACACATGGCCCAGCCCAACAAGGTCTCATTTATGTCAGATCCGGCCCTCATAACAAATGGGTTCAACACCCCTGCTTTAAAGTATTTAAATGATACATTTTCTTCCACAGCACAGATTTGGTGGATGTCAGGGTTTGATCTTGACAATTTTGGTGTGCTGTAAAAAATCTAAGGTCCAGAAATGACTGTTTTGCATTTAGTGCCACAACATCTGGCAGTTTTATTGCTGGTCTTATTCAGTGAACAGAAGCCTGTGTGATCGCTCCCACAAGGGTGACTTTGGAAATATTATAACCTTTGCACTAATATGCATATACATTTATATATGAAGTTTGTTCAAGATCACCTCCCCCATGACCTAGTGTACCTACAAGTCACATCTGCATCTCAACAAATATTAGAGAAGAAACTCATACCATGTTGTTTAATGGAGCTCATAAATGTTGGCCATCTTTAATTACATCTTGTGCATCTTTAGAATACATTGAACAAATTTATATTTTGTAATTCCTTTGGGTTATTAGGCTCATGTAAAAGGGTTTATTTCTTTAATGTCAGTTTCCAGGGTATTTTCTCTGCCTATGATTTCAAACAGCAGCTGTTCACTACTCCCACATTAACTCCAGCAGTAAATTACTCTGCTTCTATACTGGCTTCACACTCACTTTCAAGGGTGTTAAACTGCTGCTGTTTCTTATTGCTTTTCCTTTACACTGACAGTAATGGTGCCTTTCATGTTCTGATATGTTGAGTAAGGGAATCTGTAGGATGTTGTCTTTGAAAAATACTTAATTGTTTTAACCTAGGACCACTATCTCTTTACCTCTATTTCCCCTGCAATGCTTGAAAACTGGTGGATTATTTAATGGTAATTTAAAATTGTGCTACTATCTTTTTTCAGGGGTGAAAGTTTAGTGGTTGGGGTATTTATGTTTTTAATTATTGTTATTTTAAGTAATTTATAAGTTTATGATAGATTGTATTGTATTTTATTGTATTTAATTGTATTCTTGAATAGTTGTAAGCCGCCCTGAGCCCCCATCGGCGGGGAGGGCAGGATATAAGTCAGAATAACAACAATAATAAATAATAATAATAATGTCACCCAGCTTTATCTGTTGATGGGTGGCCAGCCAGACACTGCCCCGGTAACCTTGGCTGAGGGTTTGGAGGCTGTGGTGGCATGACTGAAACAGAGCCGGCTGAGACTGAATCCTTCCAAGACAGAGGTTCTGTGGCTGGGAAGAGGGATTCAGGTGTGGGGTGCCAACTCCCAGCTCTTGATGGTGTGCCCTCGAGATCTGCACCAGCCGTCAGGAGCTTGGGTGTGATTTTGGATGCCTCCCTAACAATGGAGGCCCAGGTCGCAAATATTGCCAAACTGGTGTTTTTCCAACTGCACCAGGTTAAGCAACTGGCTCCCTACCTGTCTCGCCCTGATCTAGCCACAGTAATCCATGCAATAGTCACATCCAGATTAGACTTCTGTAACTCACTTTACCCTTGAGGTTGACCCGGAAACTCCAACTGGTAGAGAATGCAGCTGCATGGGTCCTTACGGAGCTCCCGTGTACAATACACATCCATCCTGTGCTGTGAAAGCTGCACTGGCTTTTGGTGGAGTACCGGATCCAAATATTTTCAGGACCGCCTCTCCCAGTATAACCCCAGAAGAGCACTGTGCTTAGTATTTCAGAACTTACTGGTGATCCCTGGCCGGAGTTATGTCCGGCTGTCCTTGGCCAGGGCATTTTCCGTCCTGGCTGCAATCTGATGGAACTCTCTGCTGAATAACATCTGTACCAGGTGGGACTTGATGCAGTTCCGCAGGGACTGTAAGGCAGAGATGTTCCATCAGGCATTTGGTTGAGGACAGTGATGTCCGTCCTTCCGGCCCCCCCACCCCCCCCCCCCCCCGCCGCAGCAGTGGCATTACTGAATCCTTTAGCCTCATCTCTTAAGCAATTACTGTTTTTAATTGTTTTAAACCATTAAAAATATATTTGTTAGGAACCGATTATGTTTTACACCACTCTGTGCCCTGCCCTCTCAGGGGGAGGGTCATCTAAAATCCAAATAAATAAATAAATGAGTTACTCAATAATTTGTAATGAATTGTCTATGTTTCCTTACACTTGCTCTAGTTATAATTCTGGGTTGTTTAAATACGAGACATCCAGTGGTAACTATTTGATTCACATGGCAATAACCAACATAGGGTTGCCAAATAATTCTTCAAAACCATAGAGTTTTCCCTTGTATGGCCGTGGCCTGCCCCCAGCGTGCACGGCGTGCCCACGTCACTTCCTAGTGATGCGCACGCCGGGGGCGGGGTTCCCCCTGGGGCCCGATTCCGCCACGGCGGAAATCAGGCCTCCAAAGCGGGGGTTTCCCCACCCCCTGGCCCGATTTGACAGCCCTAAACCAACAGCCCAATCCTCCAGAAATAAGAGAACCAGAATTGGCATTCCAAGATGCCCTGGTCCATAGCTAGCTCCAGTCCTCATCTGCTAAGAGAAAACACCCTTTTCCTCTGCCTTGCAATGTCTTTTTTGAGATAAAGCAACCAGAACTGGACATTCAGAATGAGGCCATACTGTAGTTATATAGGAAGCATATAACAGTATTGGCCTTTTGATTTTCTTTCCCTTTCCTAATAGTCCCTAACATGGAATCTGCTGTTTTCACCACTGCTAAAAACACATTTAAAGAAGTTAGTTTAAAAGTTGTTCTGCCTGGTTCTTGATATTAAGTGCCAGCACTCATGTTCCCTTTTAGTTCAAGTGAAACCAATTTTGTTTAGGTTTGGTATGTCCCAGAAAGTTCCCCAGGGCCTAAAAATAAAAACCCTTCCTTCTAACACCACTTTATCATCCACACATCGAGACCCCTAATTTGTGCATATCTAGCTGGCCTTGCACGTGGAGCAGGTGGCAATTCTGAGAATGCTACCTTTGAGGCCCTGGAATTTAACTTTCTGCCTAGTAACCTAGGGACTGTCTAGTAACTTCTGGAATGGAATGACTACTTTTCCCAATGTCACTGGTGCCAACGTACACCTTGGTCACTGACTCCTTTCTCACACTGTCAGCCTGTTTAGACAGCATGTGGTATATGCATCCTTTGCATTAGGCAGGCAAATCACCATGCAGTCACAATGCCCGTCCTAGACCCTGCTTTCTTTATTCCTAATGACTGAATCTTCTGCTAGCAAAAGCTGACCTCCCCCCCCCCCCGAAAAGGTATCCTCGGTATGAGAGTGTATCAGTTCTTCACCTGAGAAAGGGGTCCCTTGTAAGGGATTTGTTCCCTCATCCTGACAGCCTCCTGCTTTGAGACCTACAATCTCCTTGACAGCAGAGGATCTGTTAGCATGGGAGTGGGACAGTTCCATCAGATCTGAAGGTCTTGTTCACACACCTCTCTCTGTCTCCCTCAACTTCTCCAGGTCAGCACCCTAGCCTCAAGGGAACAGACAGGTTTCTTGAGAGCTATTGAGCACACATGCTCCACTTCTGTCCCACTGGCAAATAATCATAACCTGTGGCACTCTCTGCAAAACATGGGATTGCAGACTGGTGCAGAGGTTGCTCTGATATTAATGCAAGGCTTCTGCAGCCAAGCTTAGATTAGCCTAGTGATTGATAAGGTAAAGTGTCTGGCTGTGCCAATGAGAGTGGTATATTGGTTCAGCATACCCAAGCCTTCTGAAAAGGTAGCACAGAATATAATGTCAATAAATGTAAAAATGTGTCCACATATTTATATTACTTATTTAATTTATGAGCAAGGCAAGAAGTCCATTCTTTGTGGTGGTCTTAGCGATTAACACCAGTCCTTCTTTTCCTGTTATTTTACCAAAGGAAAAACTGGCCATGCCGAAGCTGTGCGAGTGGTATATCAGCCGGAAACCATCAGTTTTGAGAAACTACTCAAGGTCTTCTGGGAGAATCATGACCCAACGCAAGGTAGAGTGATGAGTGAGCCAGTATTTAATTATCTTACTAATTACAGCTGAGATAATTAGTGTTCGAGCTGCTCAGAAGAGATGAACCTTGAAATCGCACCGCAGCTCGAGAGTATGATTGCAGGCGTTTATTGATGGGGTGGGGAAGAATGAGGAGCTGGAAAGGCACAATGCAGCCTTTTTTCTTCCCCTCCCCCACAGATGTCTGCGCCGTGAAAATTCCCACAGAGAGAGAGAGAGAGATGAGACAATAGAAATTCCTTTCACCTTTGATTATTACAGTTTCCTCCTTAATGCAATCTTTTGTCTCCCAAATTAAAGCCCCATTTCTCTAAAGCTTCAAAGGTGATAATTTTAATGAGGGATGGAGCCTTTATCCTCTTTGAGTTTGGTGTTCTTTTTTTTTTGTCTATTCAGAAACACTATAGGTATCTTTTATGATTAGAGGACATGAGGGCAAAGTTGTAAGTGAGGAGTCTGGAGGCCATTAGTAGCCATTCCGGAGGCAAATACTGTCTTAGCAATTACAAATTTATTCTCTTTGAGAAGAATCTGCTGTAAGAAAATGTAGGGGCAGTTTCAGCCTAGAGGTGGTCATCTGGCAGGTTGCTGTGACACACCACGCGTGGCAAAGGTCCTTCAGTTCTGAACTAGAGGTCTTGGCTGCAGTTGTGCCTGACGGAGGCAGAAGTGAGGACCGGATGGAGCCCTGGTGACTTCAATAAGAGGGACGTCTCTAGCTCATGAGAGCTTGGTGTGAGAACAGTACAAGCCTGTAAAGCAGCTGAGTGGGAATCAGTGCAGATGCTATCCTTCAGTTTGCTGTCATTGAGCAAAGGGTGGCCAGTAAGCACTTCAGCTCTCTCCGAAGGCTAGCAGCAAGGATGGTGAAAGAGGTACTTCCTCCCTTCCACAGTATCAGTTTAGTCTCTTCAGCAAAGTGCCGAGATTCTTTCAGCCTCCTCTTCTTCCTCCTTATTGCCCAGCCTTCTTCTTTCCCCTGAGTGGCATCTGCCCTGTTGTCTCCTGAACTACCTTTGTAGGTGGGAGGAACAGGAGCCTCCCCAATTCTGGGCAGAGGAGGACCAAGGTTCAAGGGACTAGAATAGCTGAGGCAGAGGCCCATCTGATCTGCCTACATTAGTGAGGGGTCAGGACATACCTACCCTTGAAAGGCAACGAAGCCTTACTGACCATGGTAAGAGAGACAATGTGGGATACCTAGCAGTATCACAGTTAAGTACATGAGTCCATGTTTGTGTAGCCAGTTTACTCACCCTTGGTGGCAGACCCATTATTGTTGTTGTTGTTGCTATTGTTTATTAGATTTCTGAATCGTCCATCCCTGCTACTGTAGGGCTCTGGGTGATGTACGATGGTAAATAAAATCATAAAAACTCAACAGTTTAAATACAACAATACCAATAAATAAAGTTCAAACTCCAGATGGCAAATTGAAATCACTCCCCATTCTGAACTGCCCGGCTACCTCATGGGCAGGGGAGGAGGAAGGGTGACTGATCCGGAGAGCAGAAGAGGGTGCCGGCTAGAGTGGAAACCATTGCTGTCCTCAACCAAACGCCTGGTGGAACATCTCTGCCTTACAGGCCCTGTGGAACGGCATGAGATCCCGCAGGGCCCTGGTGGTATTTGGCAGAGACTTCTGCCAGGTCGGGGCCAGGACTGAAAAAGCCCTGGCCCTGGTCGAGGACAGCCAGACATCTTTAGAGCCGGGAACCACCAGCTGATTGCATTCCAAAGAGCGTAACACTCCCAGGGACATACCAGAGGAGATGGGCCTGCAGACCGGACTTCCTTGCTCACACATGAAGTTGCCCTGTACTGAATCAGACCATCGGTCCATCAAGGCGAGTATTGTCTGTGCAGGCTGGCAGCTGTTCTCCAGGGTCTCGAAAGCAACCTAATTGCAAGTAGGTAAATGGGCACCCTTAGAGGGGTGGGGGGCACCCTGTGTGGTCGGCTGAAGATGGTGGAGATAGCAGAGACGACGGCAACGATGGCGCCGGCGGCGATCCTGGCGTGGACGGCATTGGTGGTGCGGCGAGCAAGGCGGCGGCGAGCAAGGCAAGGTGCGCGTTTGAGCGATCCCTGGCGGCGGAGAAGGAGTACATCGAGGGCTGCCGTGAAGAGAGAAGAAAGGGGCGTGCACAGATGCCGAGTTCCGGCTCAGCGGAGCCGGAAAGGACATGGCCGGGCCGGAAAGTAGGCGGAGCTGCGTGCCTAAGGAGGAGATCGCCACCACTGAACGCTGGAGACGCCAGAGAACGCCAGAGAAAGAACAACCCGCAGGACCAGGAGACCCGACCATGCCAAGCCAACGGAGAAACAGCAATAGCCACCACAGAGGGGGTGCCGGTAGGTTGTCCCACCCCCCCTTCATACATTGTGGCCCTAGCTAGGAACACAGGTGATTAGCACCAGAAACCCTGTAAGCCGCTCTGAGACCCTAGCCATGGGACAAGAGCGGGATATCAAGTCTAATGTAAAATAAATAAAAAAAAATATGTGATCCTTTTAACTGGAGATAGCAGGGATTGAACCTGGGACCTACCACGTGTCAAGCAGATGCTCTAGCACTGAGCTGCACATGCATATATTTGTCTCAATTTATACTGGATCTTCCATGCCCTGCCCCTTTTCACCTAAAGGGCCTGTTTGTTTATCAATGGGTGGGAAAGGCTGAGCCTTTTATGGATGCTGCATAAGGAATCTATCATCTGCAAATAATTAGAATTAGATGCTAGAAATTACATTGTTTTTCTAATTAGCAGATG